CTCAAGGGGCTTTTAATCCCCCCCCCCCCCGTCCCACCAGCACGGACCTGAGCTGGAGTCTGCTGGTGTTCCCCTCACTGCCCAGTGGCAGGACTGTGGCCAGAGGCTGGCTGTCATGGTCCCCTTAGGCAAGGAGAGGTTATTCCTCCCCACCCACCCCAGCATCTGGCAGAGGGGGCAAGGAAGGCTTTTATTCCACCCTGTAAAGGGCATGATTGGTAGCAGTAGCAGTCAGGGCTGGTAGACCCTGAGTGCGGTCCCCTGTGGATGGGCAGGGAGGGGGGAATAAGCCCACTTTCTTTCCCTTCTGCCTCAGAAGGCCATGCTGGCCAGACTCTGGCCATGCCCCTGCCACTACAGCAGTGAGGGGAGAGCACCAGGTGGACCCTGGCTCAGGTCTGCCAATGGGACTGGGAGGGGGGAATTAAACCCTCTCCCTGGCCAGTTCACTTGAGGCTACTGCCAGGGCTGGCCATGGCTCCCCCCAGCACAGCTTCTCTGCAGCTGAGGGCTGCTCTAACACGCCCCAGCTTCTGGCCTGAGCCACTGCAGGCATGTGCCTGAATTTCCTGAAAGTCGATTTACTTGCAGTTTGGTTCAATCTAGGAAGGTTAGACTAACCTGTAAAGATTGAATGAGTTCAGGCTCTGGCATTTTGAATGTCTGTCCTTAGCCTTGGACAGCTCACCTATGGCTATTGTGAGTTCTCCATGTAAGTTTCTCAAGGCTACCCATGCCACTTGTGGTAGATGTGCTGCAGGTTGGCCACTCCTGATCTAATCCAAACAAGAATGGAATTCAGGGAGATTATGTGGCTTGTATTGTGCAAGAGGTAATGCTAGATGATCACCTTTTGGCTCTATAATCTGTCTGTGAATTACTCAAGCTTCCCCATCTCTCCTGTTTCTTATATTTATTTGTTGCTTTTTGAGGCCTGGTAGTCGAATGCCAATCTTCCAACAAGGGAAGTAAGGGCTTTGTCAGGTATTTACATGCAACGGTTGCAAATCATTGTAATATTGTGACCTATTAAAGTTAGAGTGTGTTAGGAGATGACCCTCGCCTGCAACACCATGAGGGCACTTATGTACTAAACTGCTTGAACATGCATCTGCTTTTGCATTTAGTGGGTGCATCCACATATGCAAGCATGTGTGCTTGCAGCAGCTCAAATAGAAGTGGTGCAAATTTGAGCTGGGGCTTTTTGCCTCAGCGCATTTTGTTGTAGAGCAAATTGTGCCACTTGGGGCAAAATAACCCTGCCTGGCTCCTTCTGGATCTGCAGCCAGGGGGAGCTAGGGCCCAGGGCCAGCACCTGTGCTGTCCCCAGCAGTATAAAAAGCTGCCCTGTCCTGGCCCCAGCAGTACAAAAACCTGCCCTGGCAAGTGGCTCAGGGTTACTTGACCTCAGTAGCATCTGGGGCCCAGGCAATTGGTATCTGGGGACACTAGCCCCTTGTCAGCTAGACTGCTGAGGCAGTATCCCAAATTCAGTTTTTAAAATACCCCAAAATCCACATTCTTCTACAATTAGAACGAGAGAGAGAGAAAGGGGGATTGATCAGATGGACAATGTTTTATTGTTATAATTACAATGTTCAATAAATTTGGAAGCCTATCAGTGTCTCTAGCATCATAATAAAATAAATCCTAAATATCTATAAGTTTTAATGTTTGCTTTGGGATTCCTTATCACATGATGGGTCTGTGATGGGGGGATGTGGGGTTTGCAGGAGGGGGTGGGAAGCAGGGTGTGGGGATATGGGTGGGTGTGGGGGATGAGTCACTTTGTGGGTAGGTGTGGGGGGACTGTGGGTGTGGGGGCTGCTTAGGAGGGGTGGGTCCCCTGCATGAATGCCACATGCCCCCGACGGCTGGCGGGGCACGGCAGCACTGGCAGTGGGAAAGTGGGGAGCTCCCGCAGATGTCGCTGGCACTGTTGGCAGTGGGGGGAGGGGTGATGAGAGGCAAGCACCCACGCACACCACCGGCAGCAATCACTGACTGGCCGCATGTCAGTGGTACCACTGGCGGTGGAGGGTGGCAAGCAGCAACTGCCTATAGGCACCACCAACAGTGATGGCACCTTTTTGGGGTATGGGGTAGAGACCCCCAGGCTGTGGGGGGTGGCAATGCTGGACCATCCCACTTTCCTGAGGCACTTGCTGGAGACTGAGTTTATTTTGAAAACCTAACGTATGCAAACACTGATGCTTCAAAGCTTAATTTGTTTGAAAGCCTAGTGCATGCAAACACTGATGCGACACTCCAAAATAAACAAGTTTAAATTTTATAAACCTATTTAATTTAATGAG